CTCGAAATTCCCGATAATTACAGTCAAGCCAGGTCCTGCGTACCCCCAAGATTCCATTGATGAATTTATTATTCGAAAGTTGAATCCGTTGGTAGTTGTAGATTTCAGTCAGATTCATCTCTGCATTTCTGCATGCGTAGTGAGCAGTGAATTCATACGCGAGGTAGTTACCGTAAAATTCCGAAAATAAGCCCTGTGGCTTATATTTTTCACCAAGGCCCTTTTTGAGGGGCTTATTTTTGGAGAGGCTTTTATTCGGAGCGGCTTATATATGGAAGGAAATTGCGTTTCAAAATCGCCTATGCTCTACTGGGAGGGAAATGAGCCTAAGGATCGGGATATGCGTCTCAAAATCCCGTTGGGCTAGCTTATAGTTGGAAGGAAATTTATGTCAGTAATTCGCCTTTCCAATGACTCAGCATTGCAAGTACCTTGTCTATATGGATAGAGGAAATCGAAGCAAAGACTGAAGACTGAACTACGCATATAGCAATATACTGTGACACTTTTTGACTCCAATCATTTGGCATACGTAATAGTTCTTTGGCAAATGCAAAAATTTATGTGTTACTGTACAGTTTTTGCTTTGTTTTCTTTTTAATTTGAGGGTAATTTCCGAGTACAGGCCCCCGGGGGCTTGTATTTGGAGGGGCGATTTATCGGAGGGTTTTTTGCGTTACGAGCTTGGGGGGCTTTTGTACCAGCTGTTACCTGGTGAGGAGAAGGGCTGTAGAAGAAACTAAAAAGGCACAAAAGATCAGCTATTAATTGATAAGATGGTTATTAAAGCGAAATTGTAAAAGAAGATCAGACAATCTGGGCTTGGAACTACGGCGTGTGATACATGATCCCATATTCGTGAATTATGAAAGGTTTGCAAATGTTTTGAACTGCAGAGAATGTGGTCAGGTTATTGGAAAAAAAGCATGAATCTGTGGAAAACACAAGTAGTGGCAGGAGGACAGGCATTATGCACTGTTAATATGAGGAGAGAAATTTTTCAGGGGGATAACTTAACTCCACTGCAATTTGTTGTGGCTGGCTGTCGCATTTTGAATTGTAATTTAAATAAATCTGTTGCACGTTGTTCAAGTACCTGTCACAATTTTTAATAAACCGTGTCTCACTTTGTAACACTGAAAAAGGCTGTGCTGTCGTAATTCGTAATAACTGTCCATCCCACTTTGTAGTAAACGTAAGTTATCACATTTATTCAAACTTTTTTTCAAATACATGCAGTACAAAGAAGGTATGAGTGTTGAAAAGGGAAAGAATCCTCAAAAAGCGCTGCAGCACCATACAAGAAGGAAACAGCGAACTTCCTACAGCCTATATACATATACAAAAGAATACAGTAAAGAATTTTAAAAAATTAGCTAAAAATCTAGAAACCCTATACTAGCCCATATACATACTTCAACGATTAGCTAAAAATCTAGAAACCTTCAACTTAAAATCTGCTACAGAAGATGCAGCTCCTCTGGTATCATGAGGGAGCGGAATGATCCCATTGTTCAACTATTCTATTCATGAAACTATATTTAAATAAATTAGTCCTCGAATAGCAGGTAAAAAAGATTTGGAGTATCCATACTTCTCAGTACATATCCCCTATTAACATCCCTAAAGAAGTGAATCCTGTAGTCAAGAGTGAGTCGAAAATGAGTATCAGTCACCAAGAGAGGATAAAGGGGACAGAGAAGGCATCCTTCACACACACCCTATTCCACAGGTAATTCGTCTCGAGTTATTTTTAAGACCATAGATCCCAAGGGGGATTAGACAACAGCCAATCACATAGCGCGAATGTGTTCCGCGTGGATGACCCACGCTCAGAGCCACGCGTCCTTCACGAATTGAGGCAGAAAAAAATGGCGGAGGACACGGAGAGCAATATTGCTTTTCTTTTTGTCGACGAAAACGACTAAAGAGAGATTTCTGCTAAAGCTGTGTCAACGAAACGGAAATTAAAAAAGAATCGCCCTTCCTCTCTTGTATAGAGCTAACAGTACAGCAGGGAAATCCTTAATTATAATTTACAGTTTGGAGAGAGCAATTTCTGGTTTGATATTTATTCTTTTGTTAGTCTTTTATTATTCAACAAAAATAACACTTGGCGCCCTATAATAATAATGATAATAATTTAATAACTTCTAGAGCGCTATTTACATTCACTGATCAACAGCGCTTAACAACTTAAAAAAACTACAATAAAATTCAAATTTGTAAAACTAATTGCATGTACATCAATATTACTTGCTACTTGCTTTATTGTACAAACGACGGGTTTCAATAGACCGGCGAAATTTCTCATTTTATTAAAGCACTGAGGTTACGATAACTTCGAGTTAAACTGATTTCACGGGTTGTCAAAGAGTTGAGCGATTCCCTTTTCCCAGGTGAGCGCCGACTCATTTCGCTTCAATAGTCAGAAATGCTCTCGATCTCTTTACGCTTTCATTGCCTTTCGCCCGACATTTTTTGCATGGCGTTTAGTCATGCGAAACCTCCACGAAACATCCACGCAGCGCGCGAGGTAACTTTATCCCGATTCTAAAAATAACTCGAGACAAATTACCTATGGAATAGAGTGTGTATGGGGGATGCCTTCTCTGTCCCCTTTATCCTCTCTTGCAGTCACCTTATAAAAAAAAACAGCATCAGCAATAAATCTTCTATCCTCTAATCTGACCATTTCTCTTAAGTCACAGCACTACTCGTCTATTATTAAAGAAAACTCTGGAAATCAAAAAGTTTTGTTTAAAACTGTTCAAAAGCTACTTCAAAAGCCAACTGCTAACTACTATCCACCCTCCGAAAACGACCGTATGCTAGCTGCTGAATTTGCTACCTTTTTTACTACTAAGATTGATACTACGTAATGATCTCCTTGTTAAAAAGAAGGCTTTTATTGATTCGGCCGAATGTGTTACTGTTGAGGTACTCACTGTGTCATGGACTAAATTTTCAACTTTTACTGAGATGAAACTTGATGACATCAGGGAACAGGCTGCAACACTGGTCTCGAAGTCCTGTGTGTTGGATCCATTACTATCTTCCATTATCAAGCAATGTACAGACCTATTGCTGTCTATTATTACTAACATCGTCAGTATCTCTCTTCGTGAAGGCTGCATGCCTACGTGTTTGAAATCTGCAGTATTATCACCTCTGCTCAAGAAACCTGATGCGGACGTTTTACAATTCAAGAACTTTAAACCCATCTTGAATTTGAAGGCGCTATCGAAGATTATTGAGAAAAGTGTTGCTCTCCAGTTAAACGAATAATAACCTACATGAGACCTTTGAGTCAACCTATAAAGGTCATTCCACTGAAACTGTCATGGTGAAGGTACAAGATGATATTCTGCATGCAATTGACAGCAATAGGAACGCCATACAATTCAATAGGGCCGTTGTACTACTTATGGTAGATTTATCTGCTGCTTTTGATACTGTGTGCCATGGAATACTACTGAATAGGTTGTCTCAACGTTACGGTATTATAGGGTCTGTGCAAGAATGGTTTGCTACCTGTCATCTTGTACACAATTTGTTCAAATTAATTGAATGTTCAAGATGTTTACGTGAACTTCATTGTGGTGTACCGCAGAGGTCTGTACTGGGCGTCTGTTATATGATTTGTACACCTCACCAGTAGCTGATATCATAAAAAGGCACAATCTTACATACCACAGACGTTCTTTATTTTTCTTTTCTTATGCTGACACTCAGCTCTATGTGTCATTTAAAGGGTGTCTAGAAAACAACGACCTAGAAAACGAAGACCTACGACCTAGAAAACGACGACGAGGATGGGGCAGCTCGAAGGATTAAGGGGTTAGAGGGGTACAGAAGGCGGGAAATAAGAGGACGATAGGGGGGAATTATGAAGGGGTGAGAGGTGGGCGAAGAAGGAAAATTACAGAAAAATAGTAAATATTATTTGTACCGGCTAAGGGTATGAAGTTAAGGAATAAAACGGTGGAATTGGAAATGCAAGGTACGCGAGGTCTCTCCTCTGTTTCGTTTATCAAACAAGCGTTGCCTGTTTGTTATTGGATAGATTTATTTGATGATTCGAAGTGAGAAAGAAAATAATTTACAGTCTGTCTATAAATCCGCTTACCTGAAGAATCTGTTAAAAGAATTTACTAACCTGTAAAGTGCGATTGTTGTAACGACCCGCCACAGAAGTAAGTTAACATTGAAGTTTCAGTTTCTGAATTTAGCTACGAGATTAAGACCATTTGTGTTTGTTCTGATTGCGAATTATTAATGTATTTCTTTTAGATCAAAAAATTATTAAAGCTTGGTGGTCATTAGAGCTAACCAGTTCCTAAGGAAACACCCTTCCCCTCTAGAACTGGCTGGGTTGGTGGACAATAAAGTGTTTACCAAGAGAGGATAACCTCTCTTGGTGTTTACTGATTAAAAGTATATCGGGTTAGTTTCATGAGCGATCCCGGAGTGTGTTAATAAAAAGAGGTTTGGGGAACGAAGTATTTCTAAAAGTCAAAATTTGGGAAATTTTCACGTTTAGGCGGAGATGCTCGATTGATTTATTGATTAACGTAAACCTTCGTTACATGTACCCCGCGAGATACCTACATCTATTGTTCTTGCGTTATTTTCATAACGCGGTTTATAAAACCGTCTCTCGCATTTTTAAACAGCAGTTACAGAGTGCCTATCCGAGACGCGACGGCTGTAAGACGCAACAGGAAGTAAATTTTCAAAGAGGAGACATGTTGCCCATGCTCAAGCCGTTGTCCTGGTGTCACCACTAAGTGTCACCACGTCGCGTCGAGAACGTGGGTTTTGCGTGTTTGACGTTCTGTACAAAACGTGAGTATATTTGTTCCTGTGCTTAAATTAAATGATGATATATTCCTCTAAACATGTAAAATCAGCCTTCTAGGATCATTGGACCTAATTTCTGGCGACATTTTAGATCGCAGAGATGGAAGGATTTTGATTATTTTTAAATTTTTTTCAGGTGTACGAAGCTTATAAAATGGCAGTGCCTTCGACTTCGACTTCGAGCGAGGGTTGCAAGTAAGTCACGAGCTAAAACTGCAAATAGTGAATGCAGGAGTCTTCTGCATACTCTTCTCGTCTCTTGTACCGTTGCAATTCTCGATTTATTGCGTTCATATGCCGCAAAAGGCCAATTTTAAGCCTGTATTATTTAATTTAATTTTATTAAACTGCGTGTGTTTTTATGCTTCCCTTTAGTCCAGTAATGTTTTGGACTTATGATCATGAAGCCATTCTATGCAGAGAAGTCGTCAATGTAAATCCCTACACAACTAACAAAGGGTCAACACAAAGAAGCAGAATGTGGGAAAAAATAGCGGACACCTTGAACAAATTCACTGTGCTGAAATTCACGGTTGGTAAGCGATCAGTCCGAGACCACGTGGGAATCCTTGTTTACAGGCATAAGAAGAAACTTCTAGCGGAGGAAAAAGCAACTGGGATAACTCCCGATGAGCCAACGGAACTAGAAAACCTATTGGATATGATCATCGCGCTGGAGGAAAGTGGCGAAGCGGAATTACAGGAAACACAGGGAACAGCTAGCCAAAAACGTCACTACGATCGGGCTAAAGCGGAAGATGTTAGATTAAAAGCGATGGAGAAACTGTCAGAGACTAAGAACAGAGGTTCATCAGCGGATGAAAGCGATGACAAACCGAAGCGTCAACGAAGAAGTGGAGGTGACAGATGCTATCGAACAAAGCACAAACAAAGCATTTCTTGGACTTTCTTAAATGATGCCATGGCTATTTCTGCGAAAGAATTGCCGAAGAATCACACTGATAAAGAGCGGTTTGCAGCCGCGTCGTCTTGCATCGCGACGGAGATCTTAACTTTACTTTTCGCGCGCAAACGACGGCGTTCTACAGGTCCAGTCCTTTATCAGCCACCGCGTTCTAGAAGTCGTCGCGTCCCAGATCTTAAAGTCCCTAATTGTTTTGTCTTGGACATTGCATTGTGCATTGCGTGAAAGTGATGGAAGAATTAAAGATGAACCGAAGTGAAACTTTTAATTTTGCTCTGCGGCGTTGTCTCTATTTCTCATGATGTAATAATTTATTTCTGAACAATTCAAAAGTTCTACCGGAGATCTCACTGCATATATACCACGCTATCGGACCTGTGAGGAAACAGAAACTCCTAGGATGATACGATTCAAATCTTACAGTTCAAATACAGTTCAAATCTGATGACATGTCAACCTTCATTGTGTCCCACATAATATTTCACAATTCTCGTTACCGGTATGCTGCCGTTTCATGTATGGAAAGGTACGAGAAAATGTTGAAGCCCTTCTTTCTTTATTTTCAAAATATAAACTGTTTGTTTACGGTGTTGAGCTGTGAACACAAAAACGGCACGCCTGATTTATTTCCTGTTTGATTTATGTGGGCTTGAACTTCGCGCTATAAACGACGCGCCAGTGAAGCAGTGTATATTATTTAGGTCATTTAGATTTGATGGAAATTTGTTTAAATTGGTATCAGGATAACAAATAGGTCAAAGCAAAGCTTTTGCTTCCAGTAGTCACTCAGGTTGAATCATGACTTCATTGACCATGCTAAAGGAAAATTTGACTAGAGAAACTTTTTTAGTGGAGCTCTCACGCGCGCGCGCGCAAAGGGAGCACAATTGACAACAAATTTGGTTACCTTTGCATGGGCGCCATTCCATTCAATCAAAACGTCTGGTTTCATAACGAGCTGCACGGTCTTAGCAACCAAAAAAACTCCTCAGTATCCAGCTGAGATAGCTGAGTAAAAGTCAGCTATCTCAGCTGGATACCCAGTAGCTTGCAACATTCCCTATTCCCTTAATCTCTGATCGTATTTCGCATCTAATATGATAGAGGCGTCAATTTTCACGCAATCATGTCATCATCCTGAGGCGACAAATAAAATTAATTAAAAATGCGGTATCAAACAAAATGTCCGGAAAAAATAATTCAGTGCCTTCTAAAAAGAACATTTTAAAGTCTGCGGTCGATTTCATTGCCAACGTGTTATATATCCCAGAAGCGCTCAGGCATAATAACATCATGCTAGGACTTCTACCTGGGTGAACCAGAAAGGATATAGAACAACTGCCTAATTTTTTTTTCGGCTACGGATCGAAACGCTAAACGTGTTATATATCCCAGAAGCGCTCAGGCATAATAACATCATGCCAGGACTTCTACCTGGATGAACCAGAAAGGATATAGAACAACAGCCTAATTTTTTTTTCGGCTACGGGTCGAAACGCTAAACGTGTTATATATCCCAGAAGCGCTCAGGCATAATAACATCATGCCAGGACTTCTACCTGGGTGAACCAGAAAGGATATAGAACAACTGCCTAATCATGTTTCTTTTTCGGCTACGGATCAAAATAATAGACGTGTTATATATCCTAGAAGCGCTCAGGCATAAGAACATCATGCCAGGACTTCTACCTGGGTGAACCAGAAAGGATATAGAACAACTGCCTATTTTTTTTTTTTTTTTCGGCTACGGGTCGAAATGCTAAACGTGTTATATATCCTAGAAGCGCTCAGGCATAATAACATCATGCCAGGACTTCTACCTGGGTGAACCAGAAAGGATATAGAACAACTGCCTATTTTTTTTTTCGGCTACGGGTCGAAATGCTAAACGTGTTATATATCCTAGAAGCGCTCAGGCATAATAACATCATGCCAGGACTTCTACCTGGGTGAACCAGAAAGGATATAGAACAACTGCCTATTTTTTTTTTTTCGGCTAAGGATCGAAATGCTAAACGTGTTATATATCCTAGAAGCGCTCAGGCATAAGAACATCATGCCAGGACTTCTACCTGGGTGAACCAGAAAGGATATAGAACAACTGCCTAAATATTTTTTTTCGGCTACGGATCGAAATGCTAAACGTGTTATATATATCCCAGAAGCGCTCAGGCATAATAACATTATGCCAGGACTTCTACCTGGGTGAACCAGAAAGGATATAGAACAACTGCCTATTTTTTTTTTTCGGCTACGGATCGAAATGCTAAACGTGTTATATATCCCAGAAGCGCTCAGGCATAATAACATCATGCCAGGACTTCTACCTGGGTGAACCAGAAAGGATATAGAACAACTGCCTAAATATTTTTTTTCGGCTACGGATCGAAATGCTAAACGTGTTATATATCCTAGAAGCGCTCAGGCATAAGAACATCATGCCAGGACTTCTACCTGGGTGAACCAGAAAGGATATAGAACAACTGCCTATTTTTTTTTTTTTTTCGGCTACGGGTCGAAATGCTAAACGTGTTATATATCCCAGAAGCGCTCAGGCATAATAACATCATGCCAGGACTTCTACCTGGGTGAACCAGAAAGGATATAGAACAACTGCCTAAATATTTTTTTTCGGCTACGGATCGAAATGCTAAACGTGTTATATATCCTAGAAGCGCTCAGGCATAATAACATCATGCCAGGACTTCTACCTGGGTGAACCAGAAAGGATATAGAACAACTGCCTATTTTTTTTTTTTTCGGCTACGGATCGAAATGCTAAACGTGTTATATATCCTAGAAGCGCTCAGGCATAATAACATCATGCCAGGACTTCTACCTGGGTGAACCAGAAAGGATATAGAACAACTGCCTACTTTTTTTTTTTTCGGCTACGGGTCGAAATGCTAAACCTGTTATATATCCCAGAAGCGCTCAGGCATAATAACATCATGCCAGGACTTCTACCTGGGTGAACCAGAAAGGATATAGAACAACTACCTAAATTTTTTTTTTCGGCTACGGATCGAAATGCTAAACGTGTTATATATCCCAGAAGCGCTCAGGCATAATAACATTATGCCAGGACTTCTACCTGGGTGAACCAGAAAGGATATAGAACAACTGCCTAATTTTATTTTTACGGCTACGGTTTGAAATGCTAAACGTGTTATATATCCTAGAAGCGCTCAGGCATAATAATATGCCAGGACTTCTACCTGGGTGAACCAGAAAGGATATAGAACAACTGCCTTTTTTTTCTACGCGTCGAAGTTCTAAACTTGTTATTCTTAGAAGCGCTCAGGCTTAATAATATGCCAGGTTTCCAGCGACTGATTTTACCTGATTTTGCGGTGCGCAAGAATGGATAATTTACCCGACTTGTAAACAGATATTTCCTTCAGCCGATTGTGTCTCATGCAGGAGAATGTCATGTCTGCGTTGTTTTGTTTCTACTTTATCAAAGAAAGTTTAATAGGAAGATCGCAATTTATACTCTTACCAACTATAAATTAGGGCTGACCTTGAAGACGCGTTGAATTGTGCCGCCATCCTTCAAAATATAATCTGGCTGCGTTTAGGGAGACAATTTCCTCTTCCATCCAGGTTTACTTGGTATATGTGTTTGCGAGAATCTTCAGACAAAGAATTGGGTATACACTGATTCGAATGGCTTGGCGATACTAAGTGCTTAAGTCTACTTACCGATTACAACATGTTTTGGAAGTATTGAGAAGCGCGCCAAACGAGGTTGTCACAGCGTTCTCGAGCGAACACGGCGCGACCTGGATTGATAAAATTACTATTACATGCAGCTATCATGCCAGTGATTTCTCCTTTCGTCGCATAGTGAATAGTTTGTGAGCACATCCTCGACTCTCGAAACATTTGTCTTGCGCCGCTATAGAAGTTGCTTCTCCCGCGAACCATAGGTAGATTTCCCGCTTAATCTAATGTTTGATAATTTATGCAAAAGTTGACCTCGTGAAAGTCAGCAGTGCATTAATCGACTCAAAAATAAACAGACTTCCTACAGGGTTTTGAACACGGTTTTAATTAAAGTACTTTACGAGCGCTGCGGTAGTTGACCGCAAAAGTGTTACGGTGATGGATATTCAACTGGATGATTGCGTCACTTCATAGCAACCAGACGGTACGAATTTTTTAACTTCCGGAGCGCTGAGGCTCGTAGTGAATTTTCGGCAACTTCCATGCAGTACCGAATGGAACAGCATTTTCGCAATATATACCCAAATTTTCGAAAATTATCATTGGGAAGTTTTCTTTCCGCATTCACATTTGCTCCCGAATGTCTAAATTTCTGGTTGAAAGGTTCGCATCTCGGAAACCTTTCTGGAAGTCTGGGAACTTTTCCGGGAAAACAATGTACCAATTGCCGCTTTTTCCAAACTTTCTTAAGTTTTGGGTAAATGGAAAGCGCCCAAAATGCACCTATTGATCTTAGCATTACTTATAACCAGCCCCGGGTAACTAGCGGTTATGAGCGATTTGCGTGGGTGTTTGGCACGTTTGATAAGAGTACACTGAGATTTGCTGTGAATATGCTATTTTGGTTTTGTCCGGGGATGGGGCATTTTGCACACTTCTATTAAGCCCCCACCCCGCTCCCCGCGGTTTTTTTTGGGTCGTCGTTTTCTAGGTCGTCGTTTTCTAGGTCATCGTTTTCTAGGTCGTCGCTTTCTAGACACCCGTTATTTAAATTAGGAAGTGATGATCTTCTCTCCTCAGCAAAGTCTAGCATTAAAATATGTGCACAGGAAATCAACAATTGGATGATTCTTGATGGTCTTAAGCTAAATGAGGAAAAAACCGAGCTGCTTCTACTCAGTTCACGTTATCAGCCCAGTCCTTCATTGGAATTGTTCGTTTTGGGGGTGAAACTATTCAACAGTCCTCTTCTGTCCTAGTTCTTTTAGGCTTGTCACGCACCATGGAGGAGCGATGCGTGACGAGCCTTAAAAAGACTGCGAAGGAGACTACTTCTGTTCGTAATCTTGGAGTGATACGCGATCCCTGTGCTGATATGGAACACCACATTAAAAAGATGTGCCAGACATGTCATTTCCATTTACCTAATATTAGTAAGATAAGAACATATTTGGATCGTGAATCTACTGAAGCAATTATTCATGCTTTCGTGACTACCAACTTGGATTACGGTAATGCGATTCTATATGCCCTACCTAAAGTTCTCTTAAACCGCCTACAGCTAGTTCAGAATAGAGCAGCGCGTATCGTAGCATTCACCAAGAAGTATGAACGTATAACACCCAGCCTAATAGACTTACATTAGAGCAATTTTCAATTGAGTGTTGAAAGTAATCCAGAATTGAATTGGTTTTGCTTTACTGTGCTGTTTGATTGGTCTAGAAAACTCGCGCCACCCTCTCAGCCAATCAGATGTAAACTAAAACCAATCGCTCCTTGGTCACTCGCGTTTTCCCGCGCTACGGGCCGGTTACACGCGTTTACTTCGAGTTGTCATTGGCTCCCTCTGATAATTTCCTTTACTCTGATTGGCCGTTGTGATTACTTTGGTTTTGGTTTTTGACACTCAATTGAAAAGCGCTCTAGTAGGCTGTTGAATACCGTATTATTTATAAATTAAATGTTATTGTTAGTATATAAGGGGTAGGCTATTAATGGATTTTCACCAAGTTGTATATCCAATTCTTGCCCAGTTTTTGTAACAGCTCCTACTCTTTGCGCTCTTGCTCGAATAAGTTACTTCAAGTTCCGAGATCTAAGTTGAAGTCTTATGGTGATCGAAGATTTTCCATTGCAGGACCTAAATTATGGAACAGCATACCAGCATCTTTAAGAAATGCCCGCAATTTCTTGAATTTCTTTAAAAAAGCACTTGAAGACATATTTATTTCACCAAGTCTTTTCTTAAATTGTAAACAGATTTTTATTTAATTTTCATACTTATATATGTAGTTGTTAGATTTTCTGAGTTTAATATAGATATATTTATACGCTTGGACAGTTATTTGTTATTTTTGATATCATTATTACTAGCATTATTTTCATTCGTTTTGTTGCAATTTATTTGTATCTTAGTACAATTTTTGTAATATTGTAAAGCGCCTAGAACAGCTACAGAAATAAAGTTTATTATTATTATTATTATTATTATTATTATCTTAATGATTATTTTTAAAGACAGTCTAACCGGACATTCTTCATCAATTTTAAGAAGTTAGTCAAAGGAAACTGTTTTATCTTCTGTTTCCTTGCAGGCCGCTCTTTGTAAAAGGTTCATTTTTCTTAGACCGCAGGCCATGTTTCACTAATCTTGCCGATTGTACTTACCAACTGGATGTTTGGTTTGTGACTCCGCGTTTTATTTTATTTAGTTGTTAAAAGTGAATATGTTGTGGTTCAATTTTATCCTTGGTTTAATTTTTATTTTCCTTTGTTCTAGACTCATTATCATACATTTCTATACCCCAAAACAAAGGAAAATAAAAATTAAACCAAGAATAAAATTGAACCACAACAAATACTCTGTATGTTAATTTATGCGATTACCACATTTATCTATCTGTTTAATTTGACAGCACCAAGTAGGATATAAAGAAATCCTTTTCACACTCATTTTTTCTGTTGTAACTGATAAGTTTTTAAGACTTAGATATGAATTATAATTATGAATTTGCGAATTATGAAATCAGGGAGACCAAAGCCTCTGACCTCGCAACCTTCTACCTAAGATCAGTCGTCGTGATCGTTTAATTAGGGAACTTGAGAACCACAACGACGACTTTGTCGACGACGACTGAAAGTGAGATACCGTGCAGTGCGCAAGCGCGATTAGCAAATTTCGTCGTCGTGGTGTCGTCGACGACGCCAAACACAGTAGAATCACGTCGTCCTGCAATCCACAAGCTTTGGCAGGTATAACTCCTTGTTTTTAGGCGATTTTTCAAGGGCTTTATATTTTTAATCCTCGTAAATCCAGGTATCCTTTCTTTTTTCTCCTAACAAGCGATGTTGATTGAATTTACTTCGAAGACAACACTGAGCCGTGGAGGCCGAGCGAGCGAACTCGTAAGTGATAAATTTAGTTGTACGCATATAGGAAAGGCAAATCATATATCTTTACTATAGAGGAAATGAGCTTTATATGGAACACAGCTATCGCATCGGAATGTCTCTTTTTCCAAAACTAACCTCTGACAGACACTCGCACTCGGTCATCTCATTCAGGTTGAAAGTTGAATAATCTTCGTACGGAAAGCAGAGATTTTTCCATTCGAAAAGGTCAGACATTACTAAAAATTCTTCATCGTCAATGAAAGTAGACGTACGGCTTATAAAATAAGATCTTGCATCGTTTTAAAAGACGCCTCTGCGAAAAAACTTTGTTGCGAACGAACATCACAGTTCTACTACTTCTACTTGTTTTTTTACATTCAGTGTCGTCGTCGTCGACCTACCGATCGACTGCATCTTAAGTTTCCTTTTTCCCGCCGAAACTGACGTTCTCGTTCCAGTCCTTTCCCGGTCAACAGACGTCTTCGTCGTGAACTTCGTCGTGGTTCTTAAGTTCCCTATTTATGTTTCGCAAACTTTCTTTTTTGATAGTCAAACAAGCGAGAGAGAATATCTCATTCTCTCTTTTAAGAAGTTAGGTAATCTATTTGAATATGAATGGTTTTGGAATAAACATTTTACAGTATGTTTTATACATACAGGTATTTAGACTTTCAGGTCGACTAAATACCTGGTAAAGTCTGCATTTGAGCCAAGTGGCTCATCAAGGCCGAGTTTAAACTGGTTTCTGTGCTACACGCTGTATGAAGCATTTACGGATACCCCCACCACCACCACGGACGGGCTGTTAGTCCATCAAAGATTTACCCCAAGCATTAAATTCTCTTGTACCCATTTCTACACTTGTGTGGTTTGAAACACCCAACCTAAGTGAGGTTCGCTGATTTTTATGTAAATCCTTTCGCATTCGTAGGCAGCAGAAACAACAATTTTTTTTCTCCCATGAAAATCCTTATATTTCGAACGTTTCACAACAGTCTAGATGGTCATATTTGAGTCTGAGCTACCAGTGCGCAAGCTGATTAGTTTCTTTGCACCTGTTATGTCAGATTTGAAAATTACTACGAGTTATGTAATCAGTGAAAACTAAACACGTGGAAACGCGAAGTGCGCCGAAAACAACAGTCTTTCAGACAGATTAATAAGTAAAGGCAAACAACTGAAAGCGTGATTTTCTTTCAAAATGTAATTACCTGAGGTTGTTCAAAAATTCTCGTTAATTTTTGTAAACAATGATGTCCGCGCCATTAATAGAGTCGAGCGTTCGTTTCCACGCTGTTAATTTCCATTTCTTGGCCCCAAATTCTTGATCAGTACACTTTTGACATTCTTCACACCTAGTTTAACTGGGTGGAAATCCGCCAGTATCGGTGAAAGTGAAACTGTGAAGACCACTCGCAGTGGCCAGATTACTTCACTTGATCCCCTTCGTGCGTTCAGAAAAAATAGCCCAAAGAAAGTTTCCATTTCGGATTATACCTTTAACGTCATTCCTGTTGTGTCAACAACATTTGTTTTTTGTAGGAACGTTAATTTCCTTCATTTTTAAATGATACTCTCTCTCCTTCGCCTTTAAAATTTCCCATTCAAAAGTCGTTTTCCATCACATTAGCGTGAATTTCATGGAGCGTTTATTTCCTGTAACGAGGTAGCAATATGAAAGCCTCACCCTTGAAATTTGAAGGCAACGGCCTTTTTGTTTAGCTTAGCTAAGCTTTTTTAAAAAAACTTGCGTGCCGCTGTCTCTTCAATGATTGTATTTTGCTTTTTGTATTTTGATCAGCACTGAGCTGGTTACGAAGAATTAGCCACGGGTTATATTAGAGCCAATAAGAAAAGCAAAATGTCTACACAAATACAGTAAACACTTCATTTTACTTTGTGTTTTAATTACATTTCCAGATATTATTTAAATTGCAGTGTATGAGCTTATTTACACAAAAAGAAAATAAAACCGTTCTTGGAAGAGTGGAGAATTCTCACTGGTAGTTAAAAAGAAACAGTAAAATACGGACTTTGTTTTAAAGAAATCTCGATTCTCCACTTTTCAAGAATCTGCCAAAAAACACCTCAAAACTGATTCTTAATATCTTGCCTACATAATTCTAAGCACTTTTTTTGTCGGTAAAATGATTATTGCACGGTACCGTACGAAGAATTCTCGTCATTATTGACAACTTAATGAAAAGCATTTCGGTACATCTCGACGCTCGTTTCCGATAAAGGACAGAAATCATGTTCCTTTTCGCACCTCAAAAATACTTTACTAAGTGAACTTTCCATTGTAATTACAACTCCGACAAAATGATGATTGTGAACATAAAATGAAATAACTACAATCAACGACTACAAACTAATCAGAAATAAAGATATATTTTGAATGAAAACTGATCAACTGATCATTTCCTAACTTTCCTCTCCCGATCATCAAACGTTACTTTGAATTTAGATGTTCTCTTTTCACAAACTTTCTCTTTCTTTATTTCGCCCATTTCCATGAAAGCCTCCAATTTTTTCCACCAACATTCTTTCCTTTCTTCTTTTCAAGAAATATGTTGGCAACTCGACCTCGACTTCTTTCCACCATTCGTACCCCGATGGTTGTGACTCAGTCGTTTCTTCGTAGATGTTATCTTTTCCAAAACTCTTCTCCTTCAGTTTAGGGTACATGTTGTTTGGAAGCGGTGATGAAAAGCTTTTAAGCACTGCTGTTTTGGTGGACTCACTTGGTCTGTCAGCTGAATCTGACAAGGCTCTTCGCCGTGCTTTCACCTTTTCCAGGAACTCTAGACTATTTTTTCTCAGTTGCTGTAAATGTGTAGGCTCAGTTAACTCGATCTCTTTCAGCCACTCGTACCTGCCTTGCGACTGAGATAAGTCAAAGGAAACTGTCTTAGTTTCTTTTTTCTTGAAGGCCATGTTTCACTAATCTTACTGATTGTACTTACCAACTGGATGTTTGGTTTGTGACTCCGCGTTTTATCTGATCGTTATTGTTGAATTGGCCAAGTAATTAACGCTAATTACATGGTCAATTAGCAGTTAGGTCGTTGAATCGTCATCAGTTATTTTGTAAATAACTACACGCAACCAGATCAACTCAAGGTTACACCCGTGACTCTACTTGCACGTGCTAGTTGTAACTGATGAGTTTTCAACTTAGATATGAGTTATAATATGAGTTTATAAGTTGTGCAATCAGGGAAACCAAAGAAGTGAAAATTGAACTTCTGACCATTATAGGTGATCTTACACGGAACAATTCGCAACGACGATTTTTAGCACAACACGGCGCTGCAAGGTTGGAACAAACAACAAACAATGTCGCAACAATGTTGTTACGCTGTGTTGCGCTAAAAATCGTCGTTGCAAATCGTCTCGTGTAACATCACCTCAAGAGACATGGGATCAGGGGCATGGGATTTAATTAGTTAGTCCCAATTTCCGCTGCTGTCTCGAAACCAGTCTTGATGAGTGCGGGCTCATAACCTCACCGACTGGCGATCAAGCCTACCGCACGATTGAGAGGTGCGGAGGTGCTTATGGGATAGTTCAGGATTATTTATGCCTTCTTCACGAGAATCGCAACCTTCTAAGCAAGATTAGTCGTCGTGATCGTTTAATTTATGTTTCGCAAACTTTCTTTTTTGATATAGTCAAACAAACTGGAGAGAGAATATCTCATTCTCTCTTTTAAGAAGTTAGGTAATCTATTTGAATATGCATGGTTTTGGAATAAACATTTTACAGTATGTTTTATAC